TAATAAATCTAATCAAAAATTTGGCAAGAACAATATCAATTTATAAAAAAAAATTTAATTAAAAGATAAATTTGTGTAAAGCACTAAGCATAATTTTGTAAAATAATATAAAACATAATTTTGAATTAAAATAATAATTATTTTCATATAATTCAATATAAAATTATAAATATATAAAGTTTCACTTTTATATTTATAATTTTTTTAAACTTTTATGATTGTGTTATTAACTTGAAAAAAACTCTAGCAACATTTTAAAGAAGAAAATAAAATCCTATAATCCAATGAATTCACAATCTTCATTTTATTAATTTTTTTCAATATTTATAGACAATATCATATACAGTGAATTTTTTGTTGATTGATTATTTTTTTAAATAATTTTTAAAATTTTTTTTAATCTTCATTATGTTAAACATGAAGTTTGAAAATAATAATAATATAAAGAATAAATCCATTGATCAATTTAAATTAAAAATGAATTATTTTTACACAATAATGATTGTTTTAAAGTATAAAATACTTGTACATCTCAAATAAATTTTCAATGCCTATGTTGATTGTTATCCCAAATTTTGAGTTCAATTTGAATTGTTTCAGTTTATATAGTAGAAAAAAATTAGAAATGTTGTAAATGAAAATTTTGAAATATTGCTATATGCATTAGCAGTATTTTCATGATTCTGTGAAGTTTTGACAATAGATTTGGGTTTTTGCACATAGCAATGAGAAGATTTGACGAAATGAAAATTTACTAAATTAAAAATCAAGAATAATGATGAAAGTATTATTAGATGAAATGTCAAAGCTGAAAAGTGAAATTAGCACTTAGTCAAGAGTTTTGAAGGAGTTAGAATTTTTTTGATTTTGTTTAAATGATCAAGATTACCATTGTAGACATTAGAATTTAATTTGTTCTGAAAAAAAATAAAATTGAGATAATTTTGAATCATGATATCTCATATTTGATGTTTACAACAGAAATTGCAAGAACAGAGCATTTCAATTAAATAGATTAAAGTTTTGATCATCAAATTTGATAATTTATTCATAAATTAAACTGAACTAAGTATGAAGTTTCATTAAATGCATTGATGATAGCTAATTTTTTTTATATATAGTTAAAATTGCAATAATAAATCAATTTTCATTATTTGATATAGTAAATTTGCTATTTTTAAAATATATATTATGTTTATTTAGTTTGTATTTAATATTACATTTGGATGTGTATATGTTTTAGTGAAATTTTGTACTCATTAAAGTAATTATTGTAAAAAATCATGACAAGATTGATATATTGAAATCAACATAACACATGTGTTATACCCAATGATTCAAAAACTAAAATGATACATTATATTATTGATATTCAATATAACTGTTTTGATCTTGAAAAAAAAGTCAATTTTCAATTTCATGCAAAGTTTGAATAGTAATGAACAATCTAAAAGTTTAGAGCAAATATTTTTTTCTTCATAAAGCTCAATCAAATAAAATAGTAAAATGCAAATTGAGTATTGAAATGCAATTTTTTTTAAAAAAAATAACAAGTTATGTGCATAAGGAAGCAACAACTTTATGATTACATGTAGATCATGTTTTTTTATCAACTTTTATATATTTTAAAATCAAAGTTGCATCTTCATGAAGATTTTATCACTTGATGTTCATAAATTTATTTCAAAATGTTTGTAATTTATACTGTATAAAATTATTGTAAGAGAATTATTTCAAATAAATAAAATTCTATCTACATTTTCCAAAATAATAATAATTGTTGTTTGAAAAAATAATTTTTTTTAAAACTACAAGTGAATTTTAGATATAATAATAATTTAGTTTTTTCCTAGTTTTTGTTTTATAGTTCAATACTGTGGTGAATTATTCAATCAAAAAATTTAGAAATTAATGATTTAATTAAATAAGAAATAAATTATTATTAGATTAAGGTTAACAACTTTTTTTGGTAAAAAAAATAAATTTTTTAATTATTAGAAATTAATAAATTTAGAACAAAATTTAACTTTTTACAAAAATAAAAATTATTACATTTATTATTTAAAAAATTAATTCATCAAATTTATGAATTTAAGTGTGAATAAAGTTATGAAGAAACAATCAGTTGATAGATAAAATTGTTTAATTTTTATGCATTTGATTTGATGTAAACATTTGAGTAGGAAAAAATTTTCCAAATCTAAATTTTGTAGTTTTATTTGAATGCACAGAGAATTCACTATATATATTAAATTATAACAGAATAATTTTTGTATACAAATGATTAAAGTATAATTTCCTAGATTATATCATGAGTAGTTTGATTTGTAGTGGTGATGTTTTGCTTGATGAATCTATGGTATATATTAATGATATTGTTCCAAACAAATTTGTTTAAAAAAAATATTTATCCAGGAAATCATTAGCTATAATTATTTCCATAAAGATTGTTGATGCATTTTCAAGGATTCAAGTTATCAAAGTTTTGAAATATACAAAGTGCATGCAAACTTTCAAAATTTCAACATATGTCATTTTATTATAAAGATCAAGCAAAATCATCTAGAGAATGTAGCTTTGGAATCTGCATTGATCTTTTTTTATAATTTTAATTATAAAGTGATTCAATATGCTATGAAAATGATGATAGAATTTTATTTTTTCTAACTGACAATATGTCATATGATGTGGCTTTGAAAATGGTGAGAAAGGGTAATGCTGGATGAATAAATGCAATTCTTAATTCACAACAAAATTTGTTAGGTAAATAAAATTGTCAAAAGATAGAAAAAACTACTGAATAGTCAATGAGAGTTTGCATACAATTTGTATATTATGAGGATATAAAGTATATATAAGTTCAAGTTGATTGTTAAAACATCGTACAAAAAATAATGAACTTATAAATAACAATTTCAATCCTTAATCATATTAATTTTTGTTGAAAACTGTTTTGATTATTTTCAAACATTTAAACACAAATTGATGTTACTAAACCTATATCTTAAGATAATTAACATGAAACAACTCAACTTATTCAATTTTTTTTAACAAAGATTTAAAAGAAAGGATGCTGAAAATTTCTAATGAGAAGTAAACTAAAATTTTGTAATTTTATGATCTATATTAGACGTGAAATTGTTACAAATATGAGTAAGATTAATAAAGATATTTCAAACTCAAAAATTACTGCAATTTTTTTTTTAAATATTGGTAAAATTTGTATATTTTCTTTCATAAAAGAATATATTATGTTACATCATAAATTGTTCATTTATATTGATTCAGGAAAAAAATGTTGTAAACAAATTTTGTAATGAATTTTGTCCTTCTTGTTTTGAAGTTAAAGATTGATATAAATTTTTGTAATTTAATGTATTGCAAAAGTTTAGATTCACAATCAGTTGTAATGCTTTGAATTTTATAACATATAACAAAATAAAGAACATGACACAGTTTGTGCCTCATATAATTATCACCACAGTCAAATTTGATAATAAATCTAATAATGTTAATGTTTTTATCAAGATAGTTATGTTAGGAAATTTGAAAGATATACTAATATATAAAGATTAATGTTGCATATGAAAACAATGGAGTAGATTAAAATGTATATTATTTTTCATATTTATGATTTTTTTTATCATATATAAGTACGGTTTACTTTGAGTTGATTCTTATTACTATTAAATTATTATTTTGTTAATGTGAATTCTTTTAATTCTCTGAAAATTTGCATGAAAATTTGAATTTGTGTATTGTTTATCCATGGATTTCATATTACCTTGTTGGCAAAGTATGCTTGGTCTTGATTTCCTTCACGTAATATATTTAATATATTAAGATACCTAGATACCTTGAGAGACAAAACAATGTTTTTATCAAACATATAAATTTTAGGTATTAAAACTTATATATGTTGCAAATCTTTGTATAATATAGCGCAAGGTAATCATAAAGAGTCTAGATGTTATAAACTCAAAACATGAATAAAGTGAGCATTTATAAAAAGTTTAAATAAAGTCTTATTTAACCTGTGTGATTTCTAACCTTGTTAGACAATATTGCTGATTTGTGTTATATGAGACAACTAGCATAAGTTTGTAAGGGTTAACTTAGATCTCATGGTTTCCCATCTGAGTAAGGTAAGGATTTAGGTTTAAGGTTTACCTAAACCCTAAAGAGAGACCTTGTAACACTATCATTATATAAGAGGGCTAGCAAAAGCTCTCTATTGACAATTTTAGGTTTGATTAGTAAAGTCTACAGTGTTTTGTGGACATTGGCCGTATATACGAATTACGTTTGTTCATGTGTGCATGTGTGAATTATTCTCAGTTGTAGATGAATCGTTTAAAGCAAAGTATTTTGTGATAAAATTGAAAATTTGAGTATGAATATGAGTTTCATGAATATAGTTTTATTGAGAAAAAATCAATTACATCTTCTGTCAGATATTTCACAATGTTTGACACTATAAATTTCAATCTTGAATTACAATTTTATTCTTATAAACCTTAATATTTGACATGAGATAAAGTTCAAAAAAATGTAAAACACGTTTTTTTCTTTTATCAAAGGAAAATTGTGTCATATCTTCTTTCTATCCATATTATCACGGCATGACTTTGAAAATGGTAGATTTTGAACGGAAATCAATGAACCTGGAGAAAACTACATGGACGTAGGTCACTACGTTGGTCACATTAAAGTCTAATGGAAACGAGATAAATATTCTTTTGACATGTATATATTACAAAATCTTAACAATGTTCGTACGAGATGGAATTCATTGGATGGTTGGAGTCAAGCAAAATGTGAGTATTAAGATATAAAATGACGATAATTACAGTTATGATATACATCATAATAAATTATCATGTCAAGAAAACAGTGATATGAACTACTAATGCAAGTTTATTTACTCTGGTGAAGCTTACGTGTAGTGAAAGTTTGGTAGCAAGGCAAATTGTTTATGGAGATATCATCCTTTTCATGCACATAGATTGGATGTAAATAATGGTTGTAATCGACTTGTGATCTATTATAGTCAATCTGGGTAAACAAAAGACGGAGAACAGTAATCACATCTAGTGACTCTTGCATAAGTTTGCTTCGATATGAAAAAATCTAGATTTCCTTGAGGCAGAAAACATACTGCCAGTATTGGGATGCGTAAGAGTGTCTCGTATACAACAAAACTCGTGAAAAATGTGCGAATATCTCCTTTATCCGCATTCACATCAAGTCATTTTCATCAGCGAGTGTACCAAGAAAATATTTATTCTCCATTATATAGGACAAACCATTCCCCATTCATCTTTTCTGGTTTGAAGTTTTCTTTGAGAAGGTGTAATAACGCCTCCTGGGCCTGCACATAGCGTTGTAACCCCGAAATCAGATTGGTCCCAGTAACACTAATGGTCATTCTGCGAACTGCGGCTAATACAGATGTGGTTAATGATGCCGTACCTCTTTTGTATCTAATTGGTGACGAAACCTAGCCTCGAGATCAACTGCTCTCATCCGAAGTCCCTGTTCTCCAACTGCTTTCAATAGATCTTCTCTTGTCACACCGAAGCCTTTTTTACTCATTTCGTTGGGCCCATTGTTCGGGGACGGCAGCCCCTGCAAGTAAAGTAACAAATTCCGTGGAAGTCAAAGGTTTTGTATCTCTAATAAATTTCGAGATATAAACATTTCGAAAACAAAATGGTTGGAGTTTATAATTGTGTGGTAGACCCTTTTTATTGATCAATTCCTTAGAGTAGTTTAGTACACATTGTAGTGACTCCCAGGTTGATTCAAGTTTTATTCCATCCTTGAAAGAGAAGTACTCTCAAAGATAAATTCTTTGTGCTTATACATGTTCACAGGTTTGAGTATTTGAATTCGATCTTAAGAAACACTAGCATCTACTTTCAAAGCCTCCATAACATGAACATTGAAGGTACTAAAAAACATTAAGCAGTCTAGTCACACTCTTAAGAAGAAACTGAACCGTACTAGGTAAGAGTGATTCGGAAGGGTTCATAAAAATGTGCACTTACCTCAGCTTTCATAGTTTCCATTGCAGCTGGCAGAAAGTATTCAATTTCTGGTAAACTAGTACTCTGATGCTCTATCTTCGTCTTGCTCTGCGACTGAGTTTCTTGTAAATCCCTGACAGGTTCTGGTAAAAGAGGAGTTTCATCCCTTTCGTTGTTGCAGACGACTACTGTAACTGGCAGAGATCTGGCTTGAGTTATTGTTGTTTCCTTCAAAGGCTGACCAGACCCACTCCTCCTCCTTTTTTTTGCATCATTATTAGTCGCGAATTTCTCCTTTGTGACCTTCGCAGTCTCTTGTTTCCTTCTCTTCACTGGAGTCATATTGCTGAGATCTCTTCCCTCTTCGTATTTGGAGTCACTGGACGCTCTGGACAGAATAGCATCTTTCTTTTCCGTACAATATAATCCTCTAAATTGGCTGGAGTTTTGTCTGGATTTTCTTTCGCTGTCGAAGGCTTCATTAGTTGCGTGGCTCTTCTGCCATTCATCTTCCTCATTTACCTGACCAATAGGCTTCAAGCAGATATTAAGAGGTTAAATGTCAGGGTCAATGGCATGGAACCAACTTCAAGCACTATTGTAAGTCAGTCATTCACAAAGCTTTTAGCTAATTGGACGGCTCTTTCCTCACAAACTTCTGTTAGGTTAGCAATAAACAGCAAATGTGTACTAGATTTTCGCCTTACTTCAGCGTTGGGGGTATCAACGGACACTTCCGACGGATCGGTGATGGACTTGAGCTTGGGTCCACCTCTGGATCGTCGTGGATCATTCTTTACAGACCTAGACAGCAATTTCGGCCTCGCTTGTTTGATTCCGAGAGTATCTTGGACTTTGTTTCTCGACTTAAGGGCCCACCTGAATGACAGGCTTGTGCCTCTTTTGTTCATCTGAGTAAACCGGAGATTGAGAGTCAGGGAATTGGTTAGACAAATTGAAAGAATAGACAGATGCATGTCAACGTAAGCTCTAAACTAGGACTTTCAAATACGATAAATTCTTCATACTCAAACTATTGCATTAATGGTATAGATGACGGGGCTCTTTCGCGCACCTCAAGCTTGTAACATGATTTCACATGTTTACTATTGGACTTGGTTTCGTCTTTAGATGGTTGGAATGAGGTTACGTCAATTCTTCTCTTCATGCTCTTACTCGACAATTTTGAAGAGGAAGCTTTTTCTACGACGCGCCTTTGCGCAAAGCCATTATTGCGCGAAGATACGTCAAGATGAACCTTCACCTCCTGGATTCGGTTCAAAACCGAAGAGACTTTCAGCCGAAACATTCCAACAGTCTGTTGCTCCGCTTCAACACGTAACCAGTTGTCACGGAAAGAAGAGTAAAACTCGCAAGAATCCCAACGGATAGGTTTGACAGTGGAGGCATGAACATGACACAGCTCATCGACTGCCCAGCTAGATCAGAGTGGGAAATGACATTTACGATCAGGAAGAGGAAAACACAGAAGTGAGTCTAACGACAAGAGCAAACATATTTCTCAACACAACTTGTGAAGCGGGGAGAAGAGTTGAATACGATGAATGGAGAATTGGATCGCGGAAGTAGACGACCTAGATGAGACATAACAACAAGTCCTTGCGTTCCAGATTCCAGATGAGACCTGCAGAAGATAATTCCAGACTACACCTATTCTTTCACGGGATAATCAAAATGTAAACTCTTACGTGATTGAGGATTCAGCAAGTGAACATTGTTTTACATTGTACCGTGTTAAAGTGACTGATCGCTGACTGCTCGTCAGCGATCTGCACATGTGTTCGTTCCCGCGTCATCCAAGTTGACAAATCGCGACTGAATGAATGAATGAATCCGAAAGTATGAAGAAAATGCACCCCACTTGTCACGAACACTGTGGGTATGAGGGAAACATTTTCTGCGCCGCGGGTAAGTTTAATCAACAGACAATGCACGTCAGAAACCCACCATAGAGATGCAATCTCCAAACTATGCTTCTACCGATTGTTCGCTCACCCCTCTCCGGTTACCGAGGAGCCATGACTTATGCAAAAAGGTAGGGCATGGGCTGGGATTGGCGATTGACTGCAAGAATTAGAAGCTTGGCGTTAAGAAATGTCGATCTTCGTACGAGTGCGGCGATTCTCATACCTCCATTGCATATGCGCCGAAAGGCTCCATCTCACGAAGCTGGGCAGTAAAGTACTCAGCGTCGTGCGACTGTAACACGTCGCGCACTCTGTAAGTGTTGATATGGTGGGACCCACCAAATGTCGCGACTGTGATTCGGCGCGACGCTGAGGGAACTTGCGACAGCGGGGGAGACGGTCGGGGCCGATGTTCCCATAAGGGAAGTTCTGCACCGGCGGACATAATCGGTCTCGGGGTTTAAGCATAGTTAGGGTTTCGGGATTGGGGCTGTGTTTGACAGCAAGAATTGTATGATTTATCGATAGGACGTGCAGCAGTGGACGAGGGTACGGTATTTCAAAGACCTGTAGAAGCTTGGGAATTGGAAGATGAGGGTGAAAAAACAAAAGCAAGTGCGGAGACACGTGAGATTTTTCAAGGCGTGTTGCGGATTCAGAGAGCCTTTCAAGGTCTTGTGCGATGGGAACTTTGTGCACGCAGCGCTTACTGCGCGTATGGGTGGCTTACAGGATGCATTGCCGAATTTTCTGGGCTCAGCTGCCAAAGCCTTTGTCACGAGGTTTGTAAATTATTTACACTTCACCTTTCATTGTGGCGTTTGATTTGAAGACTGGACGGCACTCGCTGTTGATCTAGCTGAGGTTCTTGCAAAACCTGATACCATTCGTAGTGCTTGTGCCACCGTTTGTTGAATGTGTAATTCACATCCATGGGACGTGACTGCATCTTTATGTCAAGAAGCTGAAGTTAAACTGTTTTACATCGTTAATTTCGGGTGAAGTGCTGAACGCCAATGGCTCCAAAAAAAATTTGAAGCACAAGCTGGAATCCTTCGTTAATATCTTGCGAGCCGTTCTGGTTTCTACTATATATTTAATCTCATCCTCTATGTACGAACTGTGAGTTTTTATTGCTTAGTGAGTGCTGTTGCATCATGTTATTAGAGTTAATCTTCTTCACGTGCATCTTTGTTAGCGTAGGTTCTTATTGTGGTGAGATTGCGGACACTTCGAATCTAATTGGAGCTCTCACAGTACAGTTGTTGTACAGTTTAGTCTACATTATTCTTTACATGGGAGGAAAAGAGTTACACATTTCAGTCAAGAGATAGAGGTCAGTATTTTTCACACGTTGACTCCTGTTCTTTCCCCGATGTACAGGTGTGTGATACAAGAACTGAGGAAACTGGGTGAGGTTTTCTCAGGGACAGTTTTGGCAGCCCGTCGTCTTGATATTGCCAAGTAGGTAGCTTACCTCGACTTTAATCCAAATTACTGATCGCATTGAAAGTTCTGGATAGTCGTAGTGAGACTGTTGATAGTAACAACTTCATTTGCAGGTGTAGTCCAAAGAGCGCAAAATTGAGGTATCTCATCGTGATTTGTGATCAGGAAGTGGATGGAAGTCTGATTGAGCAATTACGGATAACACAGGTGCAATCACGAACCTCCAGTATCAGCTGCGGAATGCGTGGAAGCAATGATAGGGAAAAACAATCCCGAGCATTTTTTCGTTGCCACTCAAGATTTTGAGCTTCGGAAGAGAATTCGCAAGGTCTGGATGTTCTTCCCATTCTAGTAGTATGATGGCAGGCAGCTATTTCAGCAGCAAACATAGGAGTTGTGTCTGTACCTATTTGTGTTTCGAATGGATGTTCTGTCGTGCTTGGTGTAATCATGTTGATAGGTCGAAAATACCTAGTCGCACGACGCAGTGGATTTATTCCAAAGGTTTGCTATATGACTCCTACTAATACAAGATCGATACGTCATTGCAGGTTCCTGGAGGTGGTATTATCTTTGCTCAGAATACAGGTCTTATTATGGAACCACCTTCTACACAGCAGGTAGCATACGCTCGCATGAGCGAGGCCGAGCGAGCACATATGGCTGAGCGTGAACAGAAGATAATTGAGGAGAGAGCTAGACGTAAAGCTGAAGCCGCCTTAGCTGCCAAGACTGCACAAGAAGCACCCGCTGACCTCGACGTTCCAGCAAATGAGCAAAAACCAGTTTTGAAGGATAGGACGAAACTGAAGCGGAAGCTGCCCAAGGTTGGAATCAATTCTCTTAGACCGATTATAGACCTCAGCCTATCTTGACCAAGAGATGGAGTTTGGAGGTGCTGAGTGAGAAAGGACGAGTGCGGTACTGCCTTCATTAGCTCCGGAAGTTCATTATACCGTTGGTATATATTATTGAAGTGGGTTTGTTACATTGTAGGGACCGAATCCGTTATCACAGAAGAAGAAAAAGATGAAAGTTACTGAGTCAAATACTTCGGCGGTTAAAGTAAGACCTCTTCCCGTCTAAACTGGTGCTTTGTATTACATCTTTGTTGTGATTTTATCCTGATCTCTTACGGTTTTTTTCTGAAGTGTATGTTACACCATTGCACCTTCGTTGAGTTCGTACGAGTCATTTTTTTTTCAGCATTGGGCATGGTCTTATTTGAATGATGCAAATTGTCTCTGTACACAACAGATTCCGAGCGCGGAAGAAGGAGCCGACGCTTCCACAAAGAGACAAAGACACCGGGTGCGGCGGAGGAAGTCTAGCGTGACAAACGAAAAGAAGGACGAAACCGACTAGCTTGTAGAATTGCAGTCTATTTACTTTGGTCATTGGTAAAAGCACTAAAGGGCACTGCAAGCCATTCGAAGAGAGCCCGAAGTGAAGTCCTCAAGGTTTACTAAATAAGTCAGTGCGTGTAGGAGTTTGCAAGCCACTGGTGTAGTCTTGCATTTGGCCTGTAATTCTGCGAATCTTTTCCTCCTCAAATCAAATCTATACCCTGAAAGTTAGGCTGAACGATTTTAGCTCGATGATAGTGCTCTGTGGTCATGCTTTTGTCCACTCACCCCACAGAATTGTATAAAATTTCACAAGAGTATAGGCTCGCGCTGTTATTCCTGCTGCTCCAAGCTCTGTCCACTCCCCAATTCAAGCATCCCATTCAACGCTCAGACCTCTTGTTAACACACACCTCTGTCCAGTACCCCAAGTCCTCCACGCACTAACAAGATTTGTGGCCCACGGGGATTCTATTCTTGATATTCTATTCCTTGCTGCAAATTTAAATGATAGCTCAAATCCTTATTTTCATAGTCAAAACATTTTTCCTGATTTCCGATCCCTTAGAGGCCAGCTCACCGGTTGCTTGTTGATTCCTAAAACCTGTAACCCTCTCACTTATATATCAACTGTGACAATAGTGTTTGTATTGCGTTATCACCCTTGATAGATAGAGTTATATCAAACGTCATGTAACTGGCCTTACTTGAATTTGCGTACACCTCTCCTCTTATCCCGGGAGGTCATTGCTAACTGTAAAAAACACGACCCCAATTTTATTTTTTAAATCTTCATACAATCTGCGATTCTGGAGTCTCAATCTGTCCTTTTTCCCCTCAATTAAAAGTCTTTCATCTTGACCTTGCCTAATTGTTGAATTGGGCATACTGCGCACCTAGCGCAGTATGACCACCATTCCTTTTTTCTTATTCAGGAGGTCGCCTCGTTTAGGAAATAACTTCATGAGTTCCCATTCAGGATAAGAGGATCCCTGATGTTTCAACCGTGGATGTCTGAAGATTTCTCCGTTCGTTTCCTTTCTTGGAATAACTAGTTGTAGGTGTATACTCCCAAGGTATAAGACTTGGACTGCCCTGCAGTCAAAGTCTTACACGTTCTTATGAGCATACGAGTCTGTCGCAATTGCCGTAATAAATCACAATGATTATATCTTACCCATGATTTTATTTTACCAGCCCAAGACGACAAGTGCTTCAGCGTTCCTTCTCACGAAGCTCATCACTGTTAATTTTGTCCGTACAAATGTGCGCCCCCCACAGTTTCCTCCGCATTTCATCAGTGTTAAGGAGCCTATACTTTGGCCACGAGCTTATCAGAAATCCGAGGTTCAAACAATAGTTCTTGACTCCTTCAGCGTAAGAACGCAAAATCGTCATTCAGCTTCCTGTAATGATGACCTAGGCCGTCAACTGTATGGCCAAGTTGCGTTCGTCTGGAATTCGATATTAGAACACTCTTCCGTGGTGATTGTAGAGGAACTCGATATTAGAACAATTTGCGTGGCGTTTGAAGAGGAACTCGATACTAGAACAATTTGCGTGGTGTTTGTAGAGGAATTCCATATTAGAACAATTTGCGTGGCTTTATTAGAGGAATTCTATATTAGAACAATTGTCCGTGGTGTTTGTAGAGGAATTCGATGTTAGAACAATTTATCGAACTGTTTTTATCCAGGAGAGAGTAGTTTTTCGGTGACCATACATTATAAATGTGAAAAGAGAAAGTCTACATCCGGTTTCTTTGTGAATAAGTTTTTAAAGCTTTCTACACAACCAACAAGCTGGAATAGCTCAGTTGGTTAGAGCGTGTGGCTGTTAACCACAAGGTCGGAGGTTCGACCCCTCCTTCTAGCGATATTTTTGCGTTAAGCGATCGTTCGGGAAGTTCGTGACCACCTCCTAGTGGCATGCAGCAGTTAATAGAGTTGCCAGAACTAGAGTCTTCTCAGCACGTCAGAAGCTACTGAAGCCTTGACGGTGCTGCGCCGATTCGCCGAGTCGCGCCACGGCTTGTGATGACGCCTCTTCGGAGGATTACTGATACCTTAAAGTACGATGCCGTATGGATGCAACTAAACCTTTGATGAAATATATTTATCACAGAGTGTTTGAAGCCATGATTGTGAAATCAATTTCCCCATAAAGAAAACTAGCCTTCATCTCCAGGGTACTAAATCATTGGTGATCGAAATAAATTGGAAAGCAAATAATTTTACGAAGTACCCACAAACCACATATAACCATAATAATGATTAAGAAAAATAGATCTTTTCTTACTGAATCAGATGGGCAAATGAATTTGATTGTCACGTATTAATGCTTGTAAATTGTGGAAACCACGAATTGAGTTTAATCTAACATATCGGGGTTGACTTCTTTCATTATCTAAATAACTCCCTCCAGTTTGCAGGATATTGTCATTTTCTACTGTTTTCTTTGCAGAGTGGGTTTTTTTTTTCATTAACCTTACACATAGCACACTTTGATTAAAGATATAAGTATATTCATGTTGCTTTCAGACTCACTACAAGATGTAAATTACCAATAAGAGTAAATTTTTTTTTTAATACGAAAGAATAAGAAATTGCATAACATCAGTTCTGCTGTTTCAAATTATTCCATTCACATTTCTCGTTGTGTCACCACGGAGAGTAGCCCTTTATTTTCTGTTTGACATTTATTTGCCCGTCTTCATAAGATATTCCCGTTTTGATTTATTCCGCATTGCTCCTTCTCTAAAGGCAGATTTCTTATTCATTCCAAAAACGGATTCAAATGATGACAAAATTATCTTAATTTTGTGCCTCAAAAGACATAAGGAACAAAATAATTATACTTTGACATGGTGCCACAATCTAACACCTCAGCAAATATCCACTATAAAATAGTTATGAGCATTTATGAACATCATTATATCTAAATAGCATAGTTGGTTATATATTTCAATCATTTGAAGGACATAAATTGTCTAAATTGTGTATTGTAAGTCAGAAGCATAAACAAAAGAATAAAATATCTTTGATTTTTCCAAAAAATGCAATGTTCATTAAAAATGTATCACTGTATATTTAATTTCAAGCCATTTATACTTGCAAACGTGTACAAAATAAACCACAATTAAAAATGCAGGTCTCAAATATGCAATAACCATCGTTCATACACAATGTTTTCCGTGATCCAAATAGGTATTTAAGCAGTATTTCATCACTTTCATGAGTAATTTATATTTTCAATAATTAAATTTCAAAATAAAACTTAATAAAACAGGAAAATTCCAAACATCAAGTACTTCAAGCTGAAAATAACTTCTCTATTTTTTAAAATAATTTATCAATATTACATTAAAAATCAAAAAATGTTAATACACAAAGGGTCATCTGATAAGTAACTGAAAAAAAGGTAGAGGAATGTAAGAACAAAAAAAGTAAATAAAAGTACAGGTATAGCTAGCATTCACGAATTTTCATGAACCACGGGTTTACATTAAATTCATGTTTTAGTACATAAAATAGAAACAACGTATGATGCTAGCAACTACCTTACTCCTATTAAATCTAGTAATAGGTCACGTAGCCCAAACCTTTAAAAACAAATAGATCATGCTTAATGTAATTGTAAATCAACATCACATATTATATTCAAAAATGATGAGTTTATCTCAGACCTCCTTAAAAGTGGCATTTGCCACTTTTGAGTTAATTGTGACACTCAACAGATTTTAAAAGTGGCATTCGTGGCATTTGTAGTGAAAAGCTGTTGTGACAGTATTCAGATCATAGGAATTGAGCTCATTTCACAGAGTCCATTGGATAGAGTAACATCCTTCAACACATACAGTATTATTGCACGTCGGATTTCACTTTGTACACCTTTATTACATGGAAACTACAGTGACAGAAGTGGAATAGGCAGCATACACGAAAGAATTCTGCTTCTTAGCCGGACTAGTGGGAACTTTTTCCTGTGCACTCTTCGGAGACTGTAAATGATGATGATCTTCATCGCCATGACCTGCTCCTTGCTTTGTCACCCCGGTTTTTTGTCCAGACTCGCTTTCATCCTACGAGGACGATCGACTGTTGAAAGCCGGCGCTTTCATCTGTTACGACAAGAGCAAATGAATCAAAATCCAATGTATCTGCTGCCCATCCCACAAATACTTCGTGTTGACGGATACTGGACAAGAAGAATAAGATCCCACTAAATTTTAGCTCTGTTCCATCTATCATACTATCTTCACGGCCGTCATCGCGAAACTAAGTCGACATAAATATATGTTCCATTTACTACTGTACTGAACATTTTACTAATGGCAATGCTTGTATCGATGTTGTATACTTGTAACACTGGCAAAATTGAACATTTGTGTGGGTGTCCAGTTTCAAGTACATGAACAATTCTTCAACATCCAAGAACTTCAGCGCCCATGACACCGTGCAGTAAATAGGAAAGTGCAATCAAAGACATGTTTATCAGTCAGAGATTTCTCTCAAATGAGGGCAATGCACAGGGCAAAATGCTACCTAATTCCACAAGATGTTGCATGCTCTGTCAAAGCTTTCGACGATCTAATCTAAATACTAAAACTTCAAAATTGCAAACACTGATGACCGAAAGCAAAGTTGATCGTGAAACCAATGGAAGTCGCCAAGAGGAAAAATGCAGAGCTATGGTTGGGAAGTGTTCCACTCGCTGCTTTCGTCTGCATATAATTTTGACATTTCGGCCGATGTAAAGAGCTGATACTAGTAGATGATGTAGTACCTAGTCCGCACAGGAATAGATATGCATGACGATCTGGGAATGAGAAGGAGCCAAAATGGTATCAGCAAAATCAGCAAAATATCTGAGAGTCACAATGTACTGTAAGGCGAACTGTAAGCAAATTGATACTCAAATCATCGTGATTGCTAGCTAGGAACTCGGTATGTGCTAGTATCTCATGAGTCACTTACTACATACTGAGAATTGAATTCATCAAAATAAAGATTTCAAAACGTCATACTGTCGTGCGTGCATGATGCCGGCAAGAGACAAACTGTGATAATCTGTTCGTCGATCATCTTTTTCTCATTTCACAACAGATTAGTCCGATTCGATTGAGCATGTGTTCGCAAAGGCTGTTGCAATACCTCCACAGAAATTTCTCAACATTACGAATCGGCCGAAATCTTGTTTCTTGAATGATTTCATAGAATCCCACACGTTGTTGAAAAACTTCTTTTCGTCGTGACTTTGCAGCGCCATCTTCAGCTTAGGATCGTTTTTTGATTCATTGACCAACTCTTTGTGTTCTTCTTCAATTTGATCGATATCTTCAGGTGACCA